GAAAGAGTGATTTAGAATGATAAAGGAGAAGAAGAAAGTTTATTTGCAGGAAAAACAAAATAAAAATTGAAGTCAAGAAGACAGACACCTATAAAAATGTAAGGAAGGAAACGGCAGGAGAATAGATACTTTGAAACATATTTTCCCCTATTGTTGGTGCTAAAATAATATAATAAAATATTGTTAATATATGATTGTGTCAGTCAGAGGAGGTAAAAGGCTTGGTAGTTAACAAGTGCAGGATCTCATTTTGGAGCACAACTTGTCTAATTGTTTGTTAGCTATTGAGCTGGAGGTCATAACTTGCTTTGCTTTTATATAGATCCTTATTGCAAGCAAATTTTATTCTGATATTGATACTTAGTAGAATATGAGAATTTGAATCAAGCACAGCTCAGCTCCAGCGCAGGCTGGGTTCCCTCCTGGGCATGGAGCACATGGAACCTCTTTCCCCTGCCCAGCACTGACATTGCTGCATGGCTCTGGGCAGGAACAGAGCCTGAGGAGCATCTGACAATAAGCAAGGGTAGGGTGGAAGAGTCAGAGGCTGCAGGGAACAGGAGGAAAAGGGTCAAAGATTGTGAGGAGCTGGGAGTATGGGGGTGCAAGTGGCAGAGGAAAGAAGTGGAGGGAGCGAAGGGCAAGGGAGCCACCTGACCCCCCAGTCACTATTTTCCCTGTTGTAACAGTTGGAGGGGAATGAATGTAAGACAACCTTTCAATAAATAGATTCTATCCCTGGAATATTAAAACAAATTTATAAATTTTCCATATATAGAATCTATTTTTGGGGGCGGAGGGTCCATGTTAAGTTCAGGATTGACTTAGATTCAAGTAAAATATAGTGGTTCTTAATTCTCACTGAACACTGCTCAAGTACCATTTCTAATTTCCTTTTCATAAAATATTATGCATTTGAGAAGTTTATCTGTATTTTCCTGAAAAGTGGTCCTTATGCCTGACTTTTTTTTTAACCTGTTCCCCCCTCCCCGACACCTACTCTTATGTAGTCAAAAATATTGCAGTTACTGAAAGAAATATGAGCACTAGCCATGCACATCTTCATTGTTCATATGCACATACTTTTTGGTAGGGTGGCTACAATTCTGCTAGAAACAGACTTCTATTGCTCTTCTGCTTGCCGTGGCTCCCACAATAAGATGCATGCCACATGAAAAGAGAACTCCCAGGTCAGCTATGATAGTTACCAAAATTGGTAAAACTCTTCTACTACTAATATTCTCATATTTAACAATGCTTCTCTTAGTAAGGATCAAAAACAAATACTTATATATATCTTGTATAATGGTACAAAATTCTGTGTAAAACCATGGCATGTGCTACAGGGAATTTATTCTCTATAATCGCCATTGGTTGAATTTATTTCTGGTCAGTGAGGACTTATGTTGGATTGAGAGGCTTGAAAAATGGGATTGCCTTAGATGCAATTCATATCACTAATAATAGTATGCCCATATTTGGTTCCAGTTATACATCTCCACTGGAAAGCTAGTTAACAATGTTACGACATTTGTCAGAAAGGTAAAGCAAACTTGATGATGATGATGATAAAATATTTTTCATTTTTATGAACTAGTCCAGTCAGCTGTGCAAACAATTCATGATCTACGTTGTATATATATGAATGCCTTTATTTCCTTTTTAATTTGGTAGTTGAAATTCATTTCCTCCATCATATGACAGTTACATTATCTTGTGATAACTTACATTTTTAAAGATTAAGTTTGCTAACTGTTGGATTTCAACATTAATACCTACTCTGTGATATTCTCCTATTACTTTTGAAGAAGCAACAAAGAACACATGCCAATTTTTATATATGCCTTAGCACTGTGCAGGCCGGGAGCGGTCCGAGGCTTTCGGGGGCACGTGGCGGGCTGTGGCCAGCAGCCCTGGCACGTGGGTCGGGAAATTCGGCACGGCAAACTAGAATTAGGCACAGACACGTAGAGGTTGATTAAAGATTATTTTACTTACACCGTAGATGGTCGTGGTGCAGGCAGGAAAACTTGCTTGCGTTGCAGTTACAGATAGAAAAGAAGAAGAGCGGACAAGAGTTCTAACCGCGAACTCTGGTCCAAGGCTGGCTGAGAGCTCTTAGAACCACGAGCCCATCGAATCAACCGGACAAAATAACCCAAGAAGAGCTCTGGATACCACGATGAGAGTCCGAAAGGTGACTCTCCACGAGCACGCAGGGAAGGGTACGTCGAGGGATCAGGCGGCGACGGGGAGGGGCTAGAGGTTGATCAGGCCCCTATATCCTTCTTAAGGCACACGCTGGGTTCGTTAAGCTCCACAGAGCGCTTAGAGTTCTTCACGAGATGTGAAGTCCTCCTTCTCCTCCTCCAACTTGGAGTTGTGAGGCCCTCCTCCCCCTCCTCCAACTTGGGCAGAAAACGCTAAAGCCTCTTATATGGCTAGCAAGCCAATTGCTAGCCACCACGTGGGAATAATTTAGAAACAGCCAATAGTGGGACACACATTTACATACGGGTGGCAGGAACTCCTTTGCACCGGGGTTGTCTCTATGCAACTGAGAATTGCACCGTGCAAAGAAAGCTCCTCGTGGCGGAAATAGTTCTGCAGTGCCAAAGCACACACACAATCATACACTTTGGGTCATGACAAACACAATACAAGTACCACATTAGTGGCTATCATATACAAATTAAAAGGTTAATACATTAAATTGTGGATAAAAGGGAGTTGAGATTGACAGAGAATCTATTTGTATTGCCATATCAAGTTACTGAGCTATAGCAACAGTTCTGTCAGTTCTGCTACAACTCTGCTATAGTTATTCTATATTTTGTCTTACAGAGCTTCAACATTTATATTAATATTTCCTTTCGTCCTAATATTAAACCCTTTTAGCAGAACAAGAAAACCACACAACTTCAGTTTTGCTTAAGAATATACTACATATGTTCCTGTTTGAGTTGCAGATTATTTTCTGCTAATTCAGAACATGTTCAGACAGATGAAAAGTTTATCATGAACACATTTTGAACAGCCTATCTTAGAATACTATCTGGAAACTTGGAATACAGCTGAAGTACAGAATAAACTCATTATTTTTACACAACTAGTGTCCACTATATTTTATTTATGTTTTATTTATGTTTTATTTACGTAGGCCCTGCCCATGTAGGTTCCAGTGGGACTCCATGGGACCAGGGCCACTGGTGGTGGTGGCAGCAGCCAGGAGTATCTGCTGCTGCCATATCCATTATGGGGGCCACCACCACTGAAGCTGAGCAGCAGCTCCAGCCCTTCCTCAGATCCTGCACAGGTAGGGCCTGAACTTCAGGCTGAGCACGGAGGCCTGGCCCTGGTCCTGACCCTGGATCACTGCGCAGTCCCCGCTCTGGACCCACCTGCCCCAGTCATGATGAATG